AAAGGTGAAATTAGATAACAAAATAAATCACAAACAATCGAATGTGCAAAAATTGATAAATTACTGTATGGTTACAAAAAATGAAATAAACGTTGTCTAAACTAGCACTATTACAGGTTTACTGGCCGCGCCACTTTCACGATTTTAAGAAACATTTGCGCTTGCTAGGTTGAGGTGTGCTGTTGGGTCTAGCGGTTAAAACCGCTAGCCATCATCGTCTAGTTCTGGGAATGTGAGGTCATTAGGCTAGCAGGGGAAAAGCTCCTCTCACACATATTTCCAACAATAGGTTAAACATTTTATGACCCTTCTAAAGGTTAACCAAGCAATGAGGGCAACTGTAGAGATATCTTTCTCAATGGCTAGACGGCTTAAACCGGATTTCATTCCAATATGAAACAAGCAAATTCCATAACCTTGCAATATCGAGCTTTCATAAAAAAGCAGATGTCCTTTGTTGGACATTGCTAGCAAAATTTTTCCTAAATGAAAACGAGCATTGCAACTTTGGAAACTTTTCTCTAACGGATCTTACTTCGATACAGCCCTGTCTGGCTTTCTTGGTGATTTATCTTGTTTGATAAATAAGTTTTTGGACCTTTAGAACCCAAGGTCCCAACCCAATACCCCCTACTTTTAAACTTATGCTTGGTGTAGTTCCCTCATCTAGTTATACAAGAAAAATAGTATTATATTTTAACAAAGCATTAACGGCATTAATGTATGTTGCAAAACTTGAAGCAAAAATTTTAGATGTACGACAATTACAAATTAAAATAAAATATTAATTATAAAAAATTCAAACGATAAGCTGCACAATGACATACCTTATGTCATCTTTCTTCGAGTTTTTAAAGTTGCAAACTAAGTTATCCATTAAAATGTTATCCACCGAAAGCATGTCCATTACGCCATTTTCGATGCTTATAAGAGACAGGCTACCCAATCGAGTCTGAGTTATAGTTGATTGCAAGTAATTCTTTACACGTTTGAAACACTGAAGACCTCTCTCAACCAGTGGTGTAGTGCTATCATATAACAAGGGCGGCTCTTGCACAAAATGGCGCGAAAAACAATAGCAAAAAAAAAATTTTCCAATTTTCTGTATCAACAAGGGGGCTCAGCACTACACCTCTGCTTCCACCATGTATTTTTTCATCATGTTTTCTAAATCTGGAATAGCATTCCACAGTATGATTTGAAACATTGTTTTTTTTGGATAGATATCTTAAAAAGTATGAGTACGAGTTACCGGATGGTCTTAGAAATGACCAAGCAACCATTGAAGAATACAACAACCACTTCACTATCAACAAAAATGTACTTGACGATTATTGATTAATTGTAAAACATAAACATTTCTGATGAATAGCTTCGCAAAAATATATATCTGTATGTACAACAGAGAATATTCAAGTTTAACATGAGCGTTTGAACTAAAACATTCAAATGTTTTTATCATCTCAATTTTCTTCCTAGCTGTTGTTTCTCCATTTCTGTAGAAAATTGATTCTTATTACAAAAACATTTTTCATAAATTTCCTTATTCAACATAGAGAGATAAAATAAATAAATTTGTATTTAACATACAAAAAAATAAAGATAAGGTTCATTCTAAGATAGCCCTCCCACTAGCCCGGGTTTAAACAAAAACGGGTTAAAAGCTATCTGCTTTTGAGTTGCATTCCTACTAGCCGACTTGAAAAACGGATACATTTCAACCCATGTCTTTGTTTCAAGCAAGGTTAGTCGAAGGGCTGCCTAACTGTAAGGGAAAAATGTTTCTCTTCATTTTTCGAGTTTATCGCCTAATTTTTGTAAAAACTTACTTTTGTTAAAATGTTTTACAAATCTATTTGGCATTAATTTTGCATATCGACCCATTTCGAATATGTCATGGGTACATCTTCAAAAAACTGCTGATTTCAAATGATTAGGTTAGAGCGTCTGTATATCCCCACACGACGTAATTGCAACGAGTTCCCATAAAGGTCTTTCACTGAGTATACCAAAAAACTTTCTAGCAAGGCCGGTTAGTTCATGGGCCCCGTAGGTCATCTGCCACTGCTTGGGGGCAGCAGTTGGCTGCTGTGTTACCAATCCAATTGAATGATTGAGCGGAACATGACGCGTAGGGTGCACCTTTGCACCTAAGAACATTTCTAGGACATTGTCATATGATTGTCCTGAAACGATTACGTAACGTGATAATGGCTCCAGATGTGCAAGAAGTATACTCCCTTTTACAAGAATTTAGTGTAAAGAACACAATAATTTTGTACGTGGCCTATAAGTGATACATAATGATTAGCCCGAGCAACCTATACGGAACGGTTATATATAACACTAAAATGTATTTGAGCATTTAAAGAAATTTAAACAAAACTGAAGGGTCATTAATGTATTAAAGCTCTACTCTCACAACTGAAGGGTCATTAATGTATTCAAGCTCTATTCTCAACAAACCTTCGTCGAACATACGTAGGCCTTAAATGCTCTTACTTTTTTCAGACGAATGAATAAAGTAATAAACCTTGAAAGATAAAAATCTAGACTCTCTAGCTCTGTATGAAGTACTGAAGCATGATTTTGCTTGCAAGCAAACTGAAAATTTACGTTCAGGTAAGTAGGAAAAAGACGGAAAATTTTTAGTGAAATCAGATAAAAAATTCCACGTCAAGACTGGCTAAGGTTGGCACAGAAACAAATTTGACCAATGGAAGAATTTTAAAGACGATGACTGCAGAAAATGTCTTATATCTCAGTACCAGAGATTGACTGAACCACCGAAAGAATTCTCAGTTCTGTTCCAGATTAAGAACAAAAATTGTGGGTGGAGAATGAACAACAATAAATACACGACAACAATAAATCCTCTTGACAAAAACTTTGACGAGTTTGTCCATAAAAGTCATTGGTTTATTTTTAAACTTTACCCAGTACAACGTCATAGAAACTATATACAGTATATAACTTCTCAAATATTTGCAGAAAATCACCCTTAAATAAGAACAATTTTAAGAACATTTGAGCCTAAAATTATCAAAAAGTTTAGAAATCGAGTCGCGGCAAAAATTATCTGGTTCGTATAAAAAGAGTGTTAATTTGACCACCTTCGGGGTTTTTTCAATGCTGATTCTTCGTGAAATCTTTGTTATGTGATCATTTCACCTTTTCTAATGAGAGAAGCTGTTAAGAAAGTGGCAACACTAACACATGCGCAATTCAAATCGATGATGTTATTTTTACAATTCATAAAGTATTTAGTGGTAAGAAAGTCCGTTGCTCTTATGGGAATCAGCAAGTCTTGAAAGACGAAGAAAATTTAGAGCAAAGGGTGTCATGAGGAGAGTGAGAATGAAGTTCTATTTACATGATGCAGTTTTAATATATAATAGTTTTGATTAGATGCTGTGTAGCATAAAGAGATGTGAATTCTGTCCACAAGCCTTCACTCAAATGTGCAAGGGCATGCATATGGTGCACATTCACTTTGATTCATAAAAATGGATTAAATAATAGCCCTAAACAATAATCTCCCCAACAATAAGACCCTTGAGTTTCCAACAATTCAACATCTTTTGTCAAGTTTGTCAAATATCCAACGAAAGCTCGAATTCTCAGTAAATTTTTTCCGCCTCACCATAATTTCTACCATTGAGTATGAGTAGGAAAATGGCTTTAATTAAATAGAAGTTCGAGTTTCAATAGATATTTTTTGTATCTATTTTTTATTTATGACATGGCATGGATAAAGCTTGTGTGGTACTATCTTGCCAATAAAATATGTAGGTTGCGTGTGGTACTTCATCCAAAATAACGATGATATAGTTAGAACATAAATTGAGTACCAGAATGAAAATATAATAGTTTTATTGTTTAAAAGCTCGACGTTTCGAGCATGTACTCGTTATCTTGCCAATACTCTACGAAAAAGTAATTAGCTCGGTAGATTCACTCTTGTATGCCGAGGCAAAATAGTACTTCCATGTTCTTTGATATTTTCGCACAGTGTATCGTTTCTGTTTATACTTGATGGTTTATCGTCATTTTTATGGTCCTGCTCACAGTTCTACTTCCTTACCTTGCAAACGTCATTTTAGTTCCAGCTAAGTAAATCCCAGCCCCTCACAACAGTGAAAATTTCTTAGAAAACAGTCTTTTTGATTCATAATTTTAAACTACTTAAATTTAAACAGCATAAGACCTACAAAGTTTAATAGGGTGCATGCAATCAAGACAAAAATAGAGTTCTCATCATCGTCCTATTAATCTATATACTCATGTACTGAACAAGACATTTAGAATCCTGCTGTAGCTAACAAGGCCGCGTCCTTCAATCAACCAGTTTCTTCTTTTACGGCTTTAGTAAAAACTATAAAGTATAAATTTTTATAACAGTAACAGCGACTCATTATCAGTATTATCAACAAATTATCAAAAATTTATTCATTCATTTATTCATTATAAATTATCATTCTTTTGAAATATTATCTTTGAAATCTTTCACATTCCACAATTCGTGACAAAGTCAGAAGTGGATTCTCTACTTAGCATCATCTAGCAATAGCACGCCAATCTAGCAATAGCACGCCAATTCCTTTGGCGGCTTGCAGAAACATGCAAAACAATTAGATCAGTTTTGGTTTACAAATAAGAGAGTCCCTCCCATATTAGCTTGGAATCGTAGATAAGCCGATCTTAATTCGCTCCGTTTTCTTTGACAAATAATTGGTATCTAAACCATCTCGATTTGAAAGCCGGTTGTCTCTATTGCCACTCTTGTCCCTCTGACGTAAATGCCTGTGTACATCATCCTCACAGGTCTGCAAAGTGATGCGAGGTCTTGTTCAAGGTCATAAAGTAAATACAGCTTCAGTTCCCTTTGTTTGAAACGGATTCTACCCTGCGAGGTGTTGTTGTTATTATACTGCAATGAACCAGGAGTTGTATTGATATTTCTCTAGAAAACTGATTAACCCTATATGCTTTTTGTTTAGAGCCGTACGAGAGAATTGGAATTCAATTGTTTCTAACTTTGCGAATTTCGTAAGACGCATGGTGGATGTGGAAACCAAGAAAGCCTACCTGTCTTTCAGCGTAAAGTATCGTCAAACACGAAGGATCTGCTTTTGTGTATTATCAAATGGGAAGTTCATAAAGCACAGGGAGTGAATATCAAGAAGAATGATACTGCTCAACCGATGCAGATATCTGCATATTGCATCCATTCTTTTATCGATCTTAGGTATGGAGTTTTTGAATTTATTAGTATAAAGCCGCCGCTTTGTGTATGCCTACAGATGTCTGGAAGTACTGATTCTGCCTTCCGGGCAGATTTTTTTGCCCAAATCCAAATTTGTACAAGGTTCTTAGCTAACAAGCATTTGAGATGTTTTTAAGTTGTACACTATGAAATTTATTTCACTGACTTGGCAGATGCGTCAGGTTCTACTTACACATCGCAAACTAGGTCTATGCAAAAATAATCTGAATAAATAAGCTCATTCTTTTTACTTATTAAGGCTGGTTTTCATATATCGTATTTCGACGTATTTTATCGCAATTCGGGGTTTACGATCATTTAAGATCATTTAAGATCATTTCCGTTACATGAAAACCGACCAAATTTTATGAAAACCGCCTAACGAAATAATTTCAATACAACGTAATTCGACGTAATTCATCGGAAGAAATCAAAAAATTTTGTTTCTTCCAACAAAATACGACGAATTAAGTAAGACGAATTACGGTGAATTACGGTCGATGAATTATATGAAAATCAGAAATACGTCAAATACGTTGAAATACAGTAGCCTTATCTTGTTTTGACGAAGTAACTCTCGAACTGAAAAAAGCACACCTTGTTTTCAACATGGCAGACGATCGGGATGAGCGAGATGGAATTGCTGATTTTATGGAAATAAATACAAAAGTATCTATAGAAAATTGTTTGGTTGCTTGGCCCTCCTCTGTCTACGTTGCTGTCAAAGAGGGCCAAAGTCAACATTTTAAAATCACCTTTAATACTCCGGGCCGGGTATATCCCTGTATAGAAATAATGGCATATTTTCTATTTTAAAAAAATGAGGGGTAAGTAGCTGAAGATTTTTGATAAAATAATTTTTCCATGATCTTAGCTAAAGAAATATTCTCTATCATATAGGTATCCTTAGTTCTTGAATGATTACTTGAAAGTGGCCAGACCGCTTGCGTTCTTGGAAAATTTTCCGAATCCAAAATCTCTTCTTCCTATATTTTTTCCGTGTAAGCAATTGTTTCTTCTTTTTCAAAATGTCTATAATGACTATCAAATTGCGCTGCAGCTGACTTTCCTGTTTCTTTTAGGCCTGTATTTGCTGCCGCCAAAAAATTTAAGATAAATCGCCATATTTGTATCCAAAGACCACGTGTTTCTGTAGTCACGTGATCGTACCCCGCCTTTTCCGGTAGAATTACGACGAATTAGGATGAAGTACGTTATGCAGTTTTCATATGTCGTAAAATCGTGAACCCTGTATTGCGATGAAATGCGTCGAAATACGTTATATGAAAACCAGCCTTTACTTATCGCATACACTTCTTTCCTTATGGCACTCACCAAAGCCCGAAAGAGGTTGCACACTATAGTGCAAATTGCATAAGAATTAGGGGATAAAAGGCGATGATTACCTTCAGAATTTTCCTCCCATTGATTCAAGCTGTTCTTCCTACCTGAGACAATCCGCTGGTACAATCAACATGTATTTGCTTTTTGAAAAGAGATATCTCCGCTTTGTTTCCCTTTTTATATATTTTGGCAGGGCTAAGGATTTCATAACGGTTAAAATTGCAAAAGAAACGGCAGACCTTTCCTTGACGCTTTTTTCTGGAGGCGGCTGATTCAGAGAAGTTCTTTTGTTTTCTCTGGCTGATTTTTGAAAAACTAAAGGCCTAAATTTTGTATAATCTTTCAAACTGTATCCAAAACTATGTCTTGTCAATTTCAAAATTATCCTTGGTGTAGTGCTAGAGGGGCTCGGGAGGGGGTTGGGTTTTGCTGGCTGAGCCCCCTTTGTTGTTGCCGAAAATTGGCCAATTCATACTTTTGATATTGTTTTTCGCAACATTTTGTGCAAGATCTTTCCCTGTTATTTTGATAGCACTACACTACTGCCTGGCCTCAATGCAAGAAATGGTCGAATAGTGGTTTCCACTTAACGACCGATCCTTTCATCGACAAAATTCTTCATCAACCAAACTTTTCATCCACCCGATTTTGACCGAATCTTTCACTGATGCTCTCACACCAAGGACTTATTACGAAAAGATAATATTTCTTATCTTATGTTTACTTGAGAAGCTCTTTAATTCATCTTTATTACTAGCATTTTTCATCAATATTTTTGTTTATGGTTTTGTCTTTTATTTCTATCTAATGCATATAAATTTTTGCTTTTTTTAAAAAAATTCACAATGCCCTAAATTTTTCGATCGTATTTACGACCTGTTTCATAACTTGCTTGAAAAATATTTATGGATTTTGAAAGGGAAGTGACTATGCTGGCAAGCTGTAAAACCTTTTTATAAAAATCAATAGAATCTCCACTTCAAAACAGTATTGAACACTCAAAATGTTTGCAAGTAACGGTCGAATGCCAGCGATTCCAAAGAGCTAGATTCAAGTTTATAGGTACATGCAAAAGCTACTCTTCTCTACTTTACTCTACTTTACTCTACTCTACTCTACTCTACTCTACTCTACTCTACTCTACTTTACTCTACTCTACTCTACTCTACTCTACTCTACTCTACTCTACTCTACTCTACTCTACTCTACTCTACTCTACTCTACTCTACCCTACTCTACTCTACTCTACTCTACTCTACTCTACCCTACTCTACTCTACTCTACTCTACTCTACTCTACTCTACTCTACTCTACTCTACTCTACTCTACTCTACTCTACTCTACTCTACTCTACTCTACTCTACTCTACTCTACCGTACTCTACTCTACTCTACTCTACTCTACTCTACTCTACTCTACTCTACTCTACTCTACTCTACTCTACTCTACTCTACTCTACTCTACTCTACTCTACTCTACTCCACGAAAATTTTTTGATTGCTTGTTTCCTGTGGCCACACTTGTTTATTAGGCTTAGAAGCCCTCCATGAGTAATTGATTTTGAATATTTCTGTGACCTTTGGTGTTTTTCAAGTTCTTTTTGGTATCGAATGATTTTTTATTCTTTCTCGCAATGAAGAAAGATGTTAAAGCTTCAGTCGTATCTTTAATAGGATCATACACCAAAGACATCAAGAGATGCGAAATTGTTGCTGATATTGGTATTCTTGTCGACTCGTCAGGCAGCTTGCGTAATGAATTCCATAAAGAAATCAACTTTGTTCAAGAGCTCGCAAAAGATTTAACGGTTACTGCAGGCGGTGTGAACCTTGGTGTAGTTACTTTCAGCTACTTTGCGAAGCTCACTATCAAGCTTTCTGACAACAGAGATACAGCATCCTTTTTAGAAGCAACGAAAAAAATCCCTTTGATGGCATCGCAGACCTATATCGATAGGGCATTGCAAGTGGCAGATGCAGAGCTATTCAATGAAGCAAATGGAGACAGGAGAGATGTTCCCAATTTTCTTCTTCTTCTTACTGATGGCAAGCAAACAAAAAGCGTTTTTGCAACATCTCCCAGCTTTCAGGCGGCAAAACTAAGAGACAGAGGCGTGACAATATTTGTCATTGGTATCGGAAGATCAGTTGACGAAATTGAACTAGCGTCAATTGCAGGAAGTCCGGACAACATGCTGCTAGCAACATCATTTGAGGAATTACTTCGTGGCGACTTCAGACATCGTCTTGTTTCAAAAACATGTCAATTAGCAGCAAGTACGTTAATGCGTTTTCTACCTTTACTGTGATCTAACTGATTGTTACTACTGTAACCTTATTGGCAATTATTGCTGTAACCTTATTGGCCATTGTTAATGTAACCTAACTGGCTATTAATACTGTAACCTTAATGACAAATTTTGCTGTAACCTCTAAGGCTATTACTAATGTCACCTTACTGGCCACAACTAATATAGCCTTACTCGCTATTCCTACTGTAACCTTATCGGCCACAGCTGATGTAGCGTTATTCTCTATTGCCACTATATCCTTGGGAATTATTTCTACTGTAACCTTAATGGCTACTATCACTTTAATCTGTAAGGTTATTCATGTCTTATTTTAACCTTTAATCTTAACTGTCTCTGAATGCGTTTTAGGAGCTTTCCACTTTCACCTTTCTCCTTAATGAATCACTTAAACCAAGATAAAATAAGGAACTTAAACCGAGTTCCTTATTTTATCTTGCTTAAACTGATTGGCTGTAGATAAGAGAATATGTGGGCTAGCAATTTAATTCTTCGATTGTAAAAAGCCCGTTCTTGACATCTTTAAAGATAAAAACTTTTGTTTGATAGGGTGATCTATACCTAAAAATTAATCACCAAATACATTGAGTTGGGTAACCATAGGTATATCGTAAATATATACCAGAGACCAGAGAACATTATAAAGATCACAACTTAGTCTTAGTCTTATTATGAAGCCAAATCTACAGTCTTAAGCATTTGTTTTACTTCAAAAAATAATTGAATTAACTTTATTTTGCTTTATATGATAGAGTTAAGTATCAGCTGTTCTACTAATTTTTATTGAAACAATCTATAGATTGTCAAAATGATTTTTTTGGAACAATGTTAAGCCTAATGAATATGGAATATCTGACAAAAAATGATTGAAATAAAACGAATAAGTAATAAAAAGTTAATCTGAATAGTCACTGTATTTTTACTGGATTATTCTCATCTATAAACTTTTGCTTCTGTCAATTGGTATCGATAGTTTTTTCATTTCACATTGAAGACCATCTCTCTTCCAATAGAAAAGCCAGCTGTGCTTTGTAGCTCTGCAGTGGATATTGGGTTTCTCCTGGATAATTCAAATGCTGGGCAGAATGAATTCACTTCTGTCAAAGCATTCTTAAAAAACGTTGTCAGTGCATTCTCGTTCAACGAAACTGGACCAAGAGCGGGATTGGTAACGTATTCCAACACAGCGACGTTGCAAGTCCCTTTTGCATTCTATGGCAACCCTTCAAATTTCAAATTGGCTCTTGATTTGCTGCTGCAGTACGGAACAAAAAGGCAACTTTCCAAGGGATTATCTACTGCCATGAATGATCTATTTAAAGGTGAATCGAAAACTTCAAAGAATCCAAAGGTTTTGGTAGTTGTTTCAACTGGAACAGAAAATGACAGAAATGAAACGTTAAAGGCTATACACAAAGCAGAATTATTCCATGAACTTGGAATACGGGTGCTAGCCATTGGCATTGGTAATAAAGTCAGCAGATCCGAGTTAGCAGCCATTACAAAAGATGAAAGTCTGGTGACCATAATAAATGACTTGGGAGATTTAGAGGAAAAGGAAATATGGAGAAATCTCACACTTGACATCTGTTATGGAGCAGGTTAGTTGCAAATTTAACATTGAAGTAAAATTGTTGCAATGATATAAAGAAGCGTTGAAATGAATATAATAATCGCTGTTAGGTAATCTACCAATTTGTCTTTATCCAATCTGGCATTGTCTTTTTCCAATGATTCTATGCTTTGTAAAAATATTTGTGGCTTGTTGCTTAGTTTAAGGTGCGATTCCCTACTTTCGATGATTACTTTTCTTAAAAAAGGCTTCTCAAATCCTTTTTTCTGTAAGTTGGCCATATTCACTATCCATTTCTTCCGTTACAGTGCCCAAATGTAAAACAAGACTGGATGTTGGTATCATAATGGATGCGTCTGCAAGTTTAAGGAAAGAATTCCACATGGGGAAGAAATTTGTCAAGGCGCTTATCGACTCATTTGGCATTGGAGAGTTTACTACGAGGACAGGAATAATAACATTCAGTCAGACTGCCAAAATCAATGTTTTACTGTCCCAATTTAAAAACTTGTTTGATATTAAGAACGCGGTTGATGCACTACCGATAATGGGTTCAACAACGAAAATTGATGAAGCACTAAAACTTGCAAGAGATGAGTTCTTCGATCCGAAAAACGGCGCTAGGTATATCTTAATCAATCTTTTGGTATTTATTTAATTAGGAAGAGAATAATATGTGAACAGTTTTTGACGTTAAAGAAATTGAAAATGGCTTTGAAAAAAGCAAACATTTTATAACATATTGGCTAAAAGCTTTTTTCGTCTGGCACTCCACAGAGCATAAAACATCAGAATAAGAGTCCGAAAGAACACGATGGTAAATATATACTCAGTTGTGGATTAAAATAGGCCAATTAAAAAAACGAAAGCACAAGACCGATATAGTTGTCCAATCAGTGCCGGTATAGTCGAATAATATAATTTTTTACAATTCTCGATTCTAATTTCTTTGCTTAACAATTCCGTCAAGTTGGCTCCTTCATTTCTAGGTTTTGTGGGAAGATTAAAAAAATTAGTCAACTGTTTTGCTGTCGATAAAACACTGAATAAAATATATAGCCACTTGCAGCTTTGTAGAAACGGCACGAGCAAGCCTTCGCTTGAAAGCTTGCTATCAATAACACACATACACATATATAAATATAATATATTTATTCTTTTATGCATGAATACCCTCCTCCAAAATCCTACTTAGTATCAAGCACACTCTCATCTTCTCCTTATTTCTTTCATATTCTCGTGACCTCTGTTAAGCCTTTCCTGCACTGGTTTACATTCTCTTTCATGCTCTGCCTTAATCGCAATCAAACTTGTGTTTAGTCAATATTGTTACCATATAAGCAGAGTATTGATTTTTTATCTTGCTAAAGGCTTTTGTCTCTGTTGCTGTTTCTGGCTGGCAGTCTACGTGATGTGGTTTTCTTTATTTTTTGACCATTCTCCGTTGCCAATTTATATTCCAAATATGATGTGGATAGAATTTTACTCCTCCTGGCTCGTAGTCGGACAGATAGGCCTAATAGTAGCTACAACCGATTGAATTTTTGTTTTCTTATTTGCATTCCTCAAATCAAATGATTAATTTTTGATGTGCATGACAGTGGAAAGGAGGATCATCAGTTAACTCTATCTGTTTTTACTGTAGTGATGGCTACGTCTGATATTTTGAGATTTTGATACTAAATGCGTCGATAGATAACTTTCCATACTTATGGTATGGTATATGAAATTGTGTTTGTTACTGATTAATCATCTGTAGAAAATTCTCGTGCAAGTTTTAAAATTCCTTTTTACTCTAATTGCTTAGGGAGTCTGTAGCAAAAGTTTTGATATTGCTTACGAATGGATATCAAACAAGAGAGGGCAATACCGTCAACCTTGGTCTCATTGCTGATAGTTTACGCAAAAAAGGTGTCCTGATATACGTGATTGGTATTGGTGGAGATATCGTAGATTCAGAACTTAAAGACATTGCTGGTTCTAAAGAAAACTTCTACCAAGTCAAAACCTTTGACAAACTCATTAGCCCAGAATTCGTCAAAAAGTTGTCTCATGACAGTTGCACAAAAGGTATGGCAAACCCTAATAGAGGTTTTCTTGGAATTTTAGAATTTTTTTCACTTCAAAAAGTTCTTTTGTATTTTTTGAGTTCTTCTGCTGACACTTAAGGATATTTATTTCCAGACAAAATCGCTATTTCAATTGTCTGTTGACATATCTGGTCAAACAGTATTACAATAATGCCTGTGATTGTCAAATTTCAATGAAAGCATTTGAGAATTCTTCATTATTAGTAGATTGATTAGAAGAAAGTGTTTTTCTGAAAAACCAGTCTTTCTGTAAGCCATTTCTATATTGAAACAGAAATTCGCCAGACTTTCTACACACTTTAGTAACAGGTTTTTTATTGTCGTTCAAGCAATCGGCTCAACAAATGTTTGTTCTCAACCACTCGATGTTGGATTCATAGTTGACTCATCTGGAAGCCTAAAAAATGAGTACGGGAAGGAGAAAGAATTTGTTCAAGAGTTGATGACGACTTTTGCCAATGCTGAAAAGAGCATAAGAGCAGCACTAGTGTTATTTAGCGAAAAGGCTGTTCTTCGGAGGAAGTTTTCTGATTTTAGTAGCAAAGATGATTTTAACAAAATGGTAGCTAATTTGCCGTTGCTGGATGGTAGGACAAGAATCGATAGGGCACTTGATGTTGCTTACAAAGAGATGTTTAATGTGAATAACGGCATGCGTCCTAATGTTGCTAAAGTTCTCATTTTGTTGACTGACGGCAAACAGACCGAAGCACCAAACGCAGTGAAGCCATCGATCGCCGTTTTACCGTTTCATAATGATAAAATCAAAGTTATTTCAATTGGCATTGGTTTGGCAGTAGATCCCGTTGAACTTGAATCAATTGTTCTCAAGACAGATGATCTGTATCTAGCAAAAGATTTCAACGAGCTCAAAACGAAAACTTTTGTCAAAAATATTGCTGATGCATCTTGTGAAGCACCAGGTATAAGTTTTCATGTATGGTTAATGTGCTGTTTAACGTCACATTTTAGCTTTATTTTCAATTTAATGTTTTACTTTCAATAACCACAAACAGGTGAGCATGAGTTTATATAAAGGGATATAATAATAATGCATATCGAAGAGAAACGGCTGACAAGGATCTTGATTTTGATCCATCGGGCAGCACTAGCTTATCAAATGTTGGAAGGTTTAAAGATAAAAAACAGATTATTATTGGATCTTTACTTGATCTGTCTTCTCATTCTTGAAGAAGCATCAAAAGAGAATTCCTTTGAAAGCACCAGCAACATTTTATCGTTTTGTGAAATGTTAAGCAATAAACAACTCTTGAGTGCAATATATCTTAAGCAATAAAATTTTGTGTCAAAGCAATCCGGAATGAGAGGTTTTGTGAAACAAGAAATGTAAAGTTTTATGAAAGTATAAAACAACATAAGATGCCAACGAAACCTTTCGTGTCTAGCAGTAAAAGATCTAACAGCTTTCTCAGCTGTGAAGATTTGACCTACTTTGAGAAAAAAATGTCTTTTTATTTGTTGTAAAGTGTTTTTTTTTGGAAATTTATAAGTATTAGTTACATCTTAAATCATTTAACCGTATTCTGTACAGTTGTATTTTTAAGATAATGTCCAAACTAAACCAAACCAGACTTTAATGTATGGTAATTATTCAGGGAGTTCAACTCTTCCTCGTCTCTATACCACTGAAAAAATAAGCATCACAAGCAAAGGTGATAAGAACATATACAAGAAGAGAATATTTATGTGACAACAGGAGGAGCTTATTTTCAGTTACGTTCAGATTGCAAGCCTATTAGGCCAATACCAACAGAAGAGTCTATTGTTACGGGTTTTTAATGTATGATCTCAAAGCTGTATACATAGAAATTTGATGGAAGGCAATGTGTTGGTAATCCCTGTAAAACTTAAGAATTAGTTCTAACGGATTTACAAGTCTCAATTAAATAACTTTTTTTTAGTTCCGAGTTGTGAAAGTAGAGGCAATTTCCTGTTTGTCCTTGATGGTTCTGCAAGCGTCAAAGACAGTTTTCAGTATGAAAAATACTTTGTAAAACGTTTTGTCCAGTCTTTGGCCGCGAGTAGCAGGGCCGGTCTCATTACCTTCAGCAAGTTTGCCGTGAACAATATAAAGATTGATGATTATGAAAGAAAGAGGAAATTGATTGATCAGCTTCGGTTGGTACGTCCTCTCGGATCCATTACCAGGATTGATGAAGGTATTTTTGCCAGATAATTGCCTCCTCTTAGATTTTTGACTCTGAAACTAAAAAAATTCATCCTTTGAAAAGCTTCAAAACTAATCTTTATGTATTTATTCCGATTGTTTAGTATCCAAAAATATCAAGGTTCTTTGTGTAGATGATAAATTTGCAAGCTGTGAACGGCCTTAGGACGAAGTTATGTCGATGATCTCGTTTAATTGATTTACGTAACTGAAATATATTTCGAATTATATTTTGCTTTTATTTGTGATACAGGTTTGCTGCTAGCCAAAATAGAGCTAGCTAAATTGAAAGCTGATAAAGACAAACACCCGAAAGTGGTTTTCTTGATCACCGATGGTTCTCAGAGTCCAGATGAAAACGCGGTTGATCCTGTTTCTGTTGCCAATGATATTAGAAATCTTGGTGGGCATATATTTGTCGTTGGTGTTGGACCGAATGTACAAAAGAAGGAGCTAGAAGCTATAGCTGGACATCCTGGCAACCTTTTCCTTGCCAATTATTTCAACAGTCTTCAGTCGGATATATTTACAAAGCGAATATCAGATCTTGTTTGTGAAAGTGGTAAATTTCACATCTTCTTTTTAAATCCTTTTAATTTTGCCCCCGTGGCCCTTGAAAGCACGAAGTACTTGATAAGGAGTTAAAATAACCTTTAGAATAATACTCAAATGTACTTTGTATGCTAGATAGATTGGGGTAGATGGACATGTATAACCATTAAAATGCTTTGGATGATTGAAAGCAAGACAAGTTTCTGCGACCATTTTCATATTTTTCTATTATTATATGAAATATAATATTTATCTTCTTGAAATGAAATTTTTTCCATATAATAGTTTTGCCCTTTGAAAAAAGGATCAAATAACATTTGAAAAAGTCGAAATTATACAGATGTAAAATAAACGTGATTTATTTTCATTTAATTGATACAAAGCCTTATACACTAGGGATTCAGGCCATCTATTCTGCGTAAAACTCTTTTGCCTATCCGTCTTTTAGTTATTAAACAACTGTACGATTACAAGAAGTACAGATCTCAAAAAAATTTTGTCGAACAGAAGAAGATGAAAATGAATTACCATCCACCTAAGTTGGATGAAGAGGAATTTATAACTTCATGACAAAAGGCGAATTTTATAAAAGTTTTGTACAAAATTTTAATTCCTTTATTAGCTATTTCAAGCTTCATTAGTGAATGGTTATCTATCAAATAGAAATTTTGTGGTTTCCTGGAAAAGTTTTCTTTCTCTAAACAATTTCGAAAGTCCCTTTAAGGAAACTTATTTTTTTTCAGTATACACTCCTGTGCAATGTGAACTCGATCCAGATGTGTTGTTTGCAATCGGAACAACTACCGAACAACAGCATCGCTTAGCCAAAAAAATTGTCAATGAATTAGCAGGAAGGTTGAAGATATCGTCCACAGACTCTCAAGCAGGCATTATTCAGTTCAACCGCGAGGCAACACTTGAACACAAACTTGGTGTTTCGAAAAGTGCGACTGATTTCCAGTCTGTTGTTGATCGATTAAGATTTCAAGGTCCTGTTTCAAGCATTAAGATAGCCTTACAAAAGGCCTACTATGAGGGATTTCAGCAACAAAATGGCATGAGGGTAGATTCACAGCAAGTCTTGGTTCTTATCAGTGACTTATTCACCCAAGCCTCATCTTTTCTACAGCCTGAGCTAGATCAGTTTAAAGAAGCTGGAATAAAAGTGATAACAATCGGGCTAAGAAATGTCATTCTTCCCAAAGCCCTTTTGAATGAATTGACTCAACAATTTGTGTTAGAAGCTACCGAAACCCATGCAACGAGGGAGGTTCTTGACGGCGCCACAAAAAGCATTTGCCGTGCTGCAGGTACCAATAATTCATTATGTTATTATTATTATCATTTTTATTATTATCATTATCATTATTATCATTCAACCAGACTGTATGTATAAACTGCTTTACAAGATGGTGTCAATGGTCTAACATGATTATAAGAGTAGAAAAAATGCACAACCTTTGGTATTAAAAAATTCTCAACACGCTCCCTACAATATCAGTCAAAGCTCTTCATCAATAATGAAATGGTCCCTCCTGTCATAACTGGAGAGTCTTTTAAGTATCTTGGGCGTCACTTCGACTTCAATATGAGCAACCAAGAACATATGTCTAAGCTCAGCTCAATCTTCACAGAACTCCTAACGCAAATTGATTCTTTACCTCTCCATCCAAAGAATAAGCTGCTTCTTTATAACAGCTATCTTCTCTCACAAATTTCGTGGCACCTCACATCAGCCGATCTATCAAAAACCTGGATCGTCGAAAACCTTGATAATCAAGTTTCTGCATTTATCCGCCGTTGGCTCGATTTACCCATAAGTGCTACTTTAAGTGCCATTATTCTGTCAAAAAACCAGTTCGGTCTTAACTTGATTATTCCTTCTGTAAATTCATGCAGTGTCAAACTGTTTATCGTAATGCACTGAAATCCTCTCCCAACAAAAACGTCCAATCTTTGTGGAAAAATACCAGCCAGAGCATGAACATCCAATATGATGTTTACAGGAATACTAGAGAAGTATTGAAGGCTGTTAGATTAGAACATAAAGAGCGCCTTCAAAACCATCTTGTATCTCAAGGTACCGTTCTTTCCTTCATCTTTGACCACTCTCTTCCCATGGTCTCTAACATATGGACCACGTTTCAAAGCAACATGCCCAAGAACATTTACAGTTTTACTATCAAATATCTTAGCAACTCCCTTGCCGCGCGAAAAAACGTATCTAAATGAAACATTACTCAGTCGTCCGATTGCTCTTTTTGCCATATGCCAGAAACGTTACTTCACATTGTTGCAGGCTGTAAAACAAACCTCTAAGAAGGCCCTTACACATGGCGCCATAACTCTGCATTAAACTTCCTAGCACAGTCTTTAAAAGCTTTACCTAATTGCTCTCTTTACGCAGACATTTCAGGTTATCTCTCATCCTCTATCATAACAGGAGACTCTTTCCGTCCTGATCTACTTCTAGTCACTTCTGACCATCAGCTATCCATACTCGAGCTTACAGTAGGATACGAAACTAACCGCAAAGGAGAGAAATACTCGAATCTCATTCACAGCCTAAGCTCAGCCTATTCTTCTATCATGTTTGTTTATCTTTCTATCAGTTCCCTAGGTATCTTTGGTCTCTCCTGCTCCTCTTTCATCGATATGTGCAACGCTTTAGATGTCAGCGAGAATCATCTCCGCTTCATGATCTCCAAACTATCCAACTTAACTATCCGTACTACCTATTACATTTTCTGCCGCAGAAATAAATCTTGGAATAATCCTGAACTTCTTCAATTCTAACGATCTCTGCTACTGACGACTTCTAAAACAAACAATGACGAACACACTGTTTCATTTTTTTTGTTAACTTCTTTTGTTTGTGCTTGTAATAGTCTTCTTCTTTGTAAACCCAGGCTAGCCAATTGCAAATTACCTTTGTAATAGTGAAATTTATAATTGTAGTTTTAATTGAATTGAAAATGAAAAGTTTCCATTATTATCATTATTATTATTATTATTATTAATATTATTATTATTACTTGAGCAAGGGCGTTTTACTTGGAGGCACGACTCTGCCCTGCACTTCATTGCATCGTCATTTCAATGTATCCGAGATGTATTCATTTATGCTGACATTCCCGCTTATTTATCACCATGTATCATAACTGGCGATTCGTTCCGTCCCGACATGCTAATCAAAACTGCTTCTAACTGTCTGTATGTCATCGAATTAACTGTTGGGTTCGAGACTAACCTGGACAATAACGCTTCGCGTAAAGCTGAGAAGTACCGTTCCCTTCTAAAGGAACTACGCCCTAAGTTCAAAAAAGTAAACTTTGTTAATCTATCTATCAGCTGTCTCGGTATCTTTGGTAACTCCTGTGATTCTTTCATCGATATGTGTGATGAACTAAAACTTGACTACCAACACCGTAATTTTATAATTAAAAAACTGTCAGCAATAATTATACGCACATCCTATTATATATTCTGTATGCGCAATAAGACTTGGACAAACCCTGAACTGCTCTCCTTCTAAAGATTCTTTGCACTCATATGATTTATTTAAATGTTATAACTTTTGTAAAATTAGTAAACTTGTCACCAGGCTAGCCGATAGTAACTACCTGTAAAGTGAGGTTACTGTTGTAAGTAGAAGAATATAAAATAAAAAAAATGTTTTCATTATTATTATTATTATTATATTATTATATTATTATATTATTATATTATTATATTATTATATTATTATAATAGGTAGATCCTCCTTCTTACCATCAAATCACGAAAGTTGTTCGTCGAATGAAGTCGTCTGGTTCGCCTTGTCCGCTTGACAAGCTATCAATAATACCTTTTAAAAGATGTCCATATCTCCGTACATACATGACTGAGCTAATTCGAATAATTTGGAGTTCGGGTGATATACCTGAGGAGTGGAAACTGGCCTGCACAGTGCTAATCCATAAACGGGGCGATGCATCTAATCCTGAAAACTTCCGCCCTATCACCCTTGAAACCATTCCACTGAAAATATTCACATCTTGCCTACGCGATTCGATGTTTGCATTTCTCTCCGCAAACATGTACATTGAGCACAGAATTCAAAAAGGGTCAGAACTATTAGAAACTGTCAACTCGTTAATGTCCAGTATCGACAAATTGTCGTGTCATCCAAAGAACAAAATTCTGTTATACCACCGATATGTGCTATCCAAAATTTCCTGGAACCTGACCATCGCTGATTTAAGCAAGACATGGGTGACAGAGAAGCTAGACAATGTTGTTTCAAGCTTTGTTAGACAATGGCTCGAGCTGCCAATAAGTGCTTCACTAAGTAGCCTCGTCATTCCAAAATCGAAGTTTGGCATCAATCTCATTCTTCCATCTACCAAGTTCTTACAATGCCAAACAGTTATCCGCAACTCTTTAAGACTGTCCCCAAACCAAGAGATTCGCTCTTTATGGAAAGACTCTAGCACTGGTACAAACATACAATATGACGTTTATCGCAACACCAAACAAGTCCTCAAATCCATCCAAAGTGAACACGAAAACCGCATTGAAAACGTTCTTACATCTCAAGGATTTATTATCTCGTGCATCTTAAAATTTGCTTCTAAGGGAACTAATCAACTTTGGTCTAGTGTCCAGCAAAAGTTACCAAAAAACATTTACAACTTTACCATCAAATATCTAAACAACACTCTTGCCACTAGGAAAAACCTCTGCAAATGGTCAATTACTCAGTCATCTGCCTGCTCTTTCTGTCTCCAATCAGAATCATTACAGCACATAGTCTCTAGCTGCAAGAATTATCTTGAACATGGTAGGTATACCTGGAGACATGATTCTGTACTTCTATATTTGGCTAAAATCCTTTCAACATCTAGAAACAGCTCACTTTACGCCGACCTGCCTTCATTTCTATCACCTTCTTTAATCACAGGCGACTCCTATCGACCAGATCTTGTCTTCGTAACTGAAGATCGAATCCTTTACATGCTAGAGCTTACTGTTGGGTTCGAAAGCAACATCGACGAAAACAGTACACGAAAAGCTAGGAAATATAGCGACCTTATCAAGGAACTGAGCCCTGCCTATAAACGTGTTACCTTTGTTAACCTTTCTATGAGTGCCCTTGGCATTCTGGGAACCTCATCTACCTCTCTCTCTGACATGCTACACCAACTTAATTTTGACTCAAATCAAACTAAATCCATCTTGATGAAACTCATGAACATTTCTATCCGCTGCACCTACTATATCTTCTGTCGTCGAAACAAACCATGGCTAAGCCCCGAACTAATTGACTTTTAAATATTGTAATGCAGATAAGCCAATTATATGATGCCTGTAAAAGCGAGTCGTATAATTGTAAATTTAAAATGTATTCAATGAAAATGAGATGTTTAAAAAAAATTATTACTATTACTATTATTATCGATTTATTTAAAGTTGGCTTTATAATTCAAATAGCTAAAATAACAGCTAATTAAGGCAAATTAGAACTTAAAGAAAATGTTGTATCTGCCTGACAGTATTAGGTATCTTAGCTTTTAGCTGAGAAACGAGAAAAGCAAATATTGGAATAAAGTTGGCTTTTTAACCTTTGTTTTCTTTTGATGATGATAATTAGATAGAAGATTCCTTTCCTTTTTCTTTTGATTTCTTAATTGGACATTCGTGTTTTCTCTAGTTCCGAAATGCACTAATCTGGCAAACTTTGGCTTCATTCTTGACTCTTCTGTCACTCCGCATCTATTTGAGGCACAAAAAAAGTTCTTGGAACACTTTGTGGACGTATTTCCATTGTCAAAAATTGGTAACAGAGCGGGAGTTGTCCTTTACCACAACGGAGCTGAGGTTGGTATTCCATTCAATTCCAAAGAGAAAGTCAGTACATTCAAAAGTGCAGTTCGTTCTTTGCAGTACACAGGGTCAGCAACAAATATTGATGATGGTCTCCGGGTCGTGAAGGATGTTTTGGTACCAGGCGCTCAAAAAGATTTACCTATACTCATAGTCTTGCTTATTGATAAATCGCAGCAAAAAACCTTGGACAGGTACTTACGAAGATCAATTCTCAATGAAATAAAGTCACTTGGCGTTACCATTTTTACCGTAATGGTTGGTACTAAGAGAACAGAAGCAATTGACGAAATCATTGGTAACACCGATTTGGTTTTATCCATTCAAGACATGACTGTATTGCAATCTCCTGAGTTTCTTTTACAGCTGTCAAACAGGCTCTGTAGTTTAGGTAAGATTAGTTTAAATTTTATATGTTTGACCATACGGTAGCAGATAACTTTGCATCCAATTCAAAATCGGTTCGGATCAGCCTTCCTCTACATGAGGTCAAAGTGTTCCGATACACTTTTGTTGTTCTATTTGGGTCAATTTTTAATCTGTAGACCCAAATTAAAAATAGTCACACTTTTATAAAAAGTGCAGCTCTTTTAGTATGATTGATATTTTTATATTTTATGGCCTCATATGAATGATATCCCGTTTTATCTCGTATCTTAGATGCTATTCAGTAAAGATGAACGGTTAAAGTGGGCGTCCACTCTTTCTCAGACTTCGCATTATGATTATCCAATTAGAAATAAGACCCCCCTCACAATTTCAGGCCGGTCTGAAACTCAGGTCGTCTTGAAATTTGATGGTGCGTGCTAATTAACATGGATGTTTTTAAACCGGCTTGAAAAAGCCACAGGGTTTTGCACATGCGCATTTTCGGCGAAATTTAGATCAAAACAATCATGGCGCCCAATGATTTGATGAAAAGGTTTATTTTAAATCAATTGTTAAAATCTATTTTAGTTGTTCTAGTCTCGGCTCTGCAACTTCATTTTATTTTGCTTCTTCAACTTATGTTTCAACTTCTTCAACATGTACTGTTTCTTTATTCCAAGAGTTTTCATGACGTCCAACAAAAGCCAAATAGATCTTGGCAAAATAAGCACAGGCTGTATCTTGCATTATTCAATGGTGAAATGGCGCCAAATTTATCAAAAATGTATCCCAGAACTCTAATTTGCATCCCAGAGTGCAATTTATTTCTCTCCGCGAGTTTCATTTCGCCCCGACTTGAAAAACGTTTCTGCTCACATGCGGATTTCAAGTCGACCTGAAATTTCAGACCGACCTGAACAACCGAAAGGAATTCAGGTCGACCTGAGTTTCATTTCGCCCTCTCTCATGTGAGCACCTCAAGGGCTCAGACCGCAGACTGAAATGAATTTAAGGTCGATCTGAGTTCAGACCGGCCTGAAATTTCTCATGTGAGGGGGGTCTAAATGTGTAACTTGTTACATTTTAAATTTTGCTGTTAATTTTTACATTATCAGAATTTTTCTATGGTTCTAGTTAAGAAACCAATGAAGTGTAAAGCTGTAGCCGATGTTGGCTTTATCGTTGACTCATCAGTCCGCCTTGTTAGTCATTACGCAAAAGAGAAAGAGTTTGTAAAGCTCGTTGCAAGAAACCTTGATGTTTCTAACAGAGGTAGTCATGTCGCAGTGGTGTTGTTCAGTTATCATTCTGATCTGAGTATCAAGTTCTCGGATTACAACAATGCAGATGGTTTCGGTAGAGCTGTTGATAATTTTCCTCTAATGAAAAACACTACTCGTATCGACAAAGCATTGAGGACGGCTTACAATGAAATGTTTAGCGAAAGAAATGGAATGAGGATTAAAGTTCCAAAGATACTTGTTCTACTTACTGATGGTGAGCAGACTAAAGATGCTGATGCGGTGTCACCTTCGCAAATCATTCAAAAATTCCACCATGCCGATATCAAGGTAATCGTTGTCGGTATTGGCAGAGGTGTTAACCCAGCTGAGCTGCGCTCCTTGGTAAAATCACAAGACGACTTGTACTTAGCCAAAGACTTTGAGCAGCTGAAATCTACAGAGTTTGTTGATGGCATTACGAAGACAATTTGTCTTAATACAAGTAAGTTCTCTTAGGTGGTAGTTTCCTATTTCTTCTAAGTATGAATTCACAGTGTTTTTGAAGCTCCGGTTGTAAGTACAGCGTTTCACAAATGCAAAAACAATTTCCTCGTACATTCTCAGATAGCTGTTTTCTCTTGTTCATAACTCCTTAGATGTAATCAGAAGTAGCACGAAAGTAGCCAAGTTTAAAATGTCTTTTTCAGTCAACAGATGCGATAGTATAGCAGATATTGGCATTTTGGTGGATTCTTCAGGAAGCTTGCGACGACTTTTTCATAAAGAGAAAGAGTTTGTTAAAATTTTAGCGGATGTGTTTGAAATTGATCCAGACGGCAGTAGGGTTGGCATCATCACTTTCAGCTATAATGCTGTTCTCAGTATCAAACTCTCTAGTCTGCAAGATAAGGCTGGTTTCAAGGAAGCTGTTCAAAATCTGCCTTACATGGGATATACAACAAGGATTGACAAAGCCTTAGCATTAGCTCGTGACGAGCTGTTTCTCGAGTCAAACGGAGCGCGTGCTGTCATTCCAAAAATACTTATTTTGCTTACGGATGGCAAGCAGTCGTATGTTGGCAATACTGTCAAACCTTCTGGCATTGCAGCAGAAATAAGACGTTCGTTTGGTGCAACCATCTTTGCTATTGGCATTGGAACACAGGTTGATAGAGACGAGCTGACTGAAATTGCAAATGGAGAGACTCGTGTGTTTTTGGCTGAAAATTTCAATGAACTCGTATCAGCTGAATTTGTTTCAAAATTTGTTGCAAGTGCATGTTTACCAGGTACCATTTTTTATAGTTTCTGTTCTTCATTAAGACAATAAAACATAATCTATTTTTAAAAAAAGCGTCAGCAACGTGCTCTCCCGTGCTGAGTGCTTTGATAATGGGAATGGCACGGGCGGTTTTGAGAATATTTTTCGGCCATCATCGTCAATTAATGACGTGAGCCGCCAACATTAATGACAAAATTGATAATAAAAAATACTGGTAAACTTATCAATATGAATTTTCAATCAGATGTAAACTTATCTTTATATATGCATTTTCAATCAGTGTAGGCTTGGTTGCTTTACTAACCAATCAAAAGACAGTTGCTAGCTAGCCCATATGCAGGCTCCCAAATTTACAATTACAATGTCTTTATCAATTATTACCAAATGTGGTACTTCTCTTGTATGTAACACCCCGGTCAAACGAACTGAGCATTTCACTGAGCAACGCTCAGCATGCCAAGTCAGTGAGAAGCTCAGTTCGTTTGAAAGATTGCTCAGTCATGATCAGCCATGCTCAGTCCTGCCCAGAGATGCTTGACGGCGATGTTGAGAGAGTAATCAAACATTTCTTTTGTTCGAGCTGTTATTGAGCGATGCTTAGTTCTTTTGACCACCCAGCTGAACTTTGCTCAACTCGGACTTGCCTTACATGCGCCGTAAATTCAAGTTTTGCACCGAGATTACTTTGAGAATTTTTTTTATATTGTGCTCACTAAAGCCGTTTAATAGTGTCATAAAAGCTCACCATTTGGACAACATAAAGAATGCTTTTTGATTTGCAATAGTTTTGTGCGAAATTTCAATTTTTCATTGCGGAGACAATCAAACTAATAATAACTTGTTCATAGAATTGTTGGCTGCATTGTTCAATTTGTTTGACCACCCTGTACTGAGCAGTGAGCTGAGAAGAGCTGAATGACTGTTGCTCAGTGCAATATTCAGTTCGTTTGACCAAGGCTTAATTGGAACAACAGATTCAGAAATGATAGTTGTAAAATGGAATCTTCAGTTGAATATCATCGGAAAGTTGAATGTTCAGATAATGAAATGTCATAAAAACATCAAATGTTATTATTTTCTAAATTACAAATCAATCTAAAAGCTTTCAACTCGTAGTTTTTGGAATCATATTGCTCTAATAGTAATCATGCAGCAAGTTGTATCATATTTCGAGATTTCTAAGCAAACAAGCAATTTTCATGCAGATTAATTTACAAAAATTTGTAAGGATAGAAATATAATGATCATTTGATAAGTAATTAGGCATAATCCGGACGTCTACACAGTTGTAACATAAATCACTTGATATTTTTGTATGATGTCGCAAGCACAATGAATGAAGAAAACTTACAAAGAAATGCATGCTTTGAACATCTTAAATAGTACTTTAACTTTTCTAAGATGTTTTAAAGAATATGTGGTTGTTTTGAGTCTCTTACTAAGGCATTTTTGCATCTTTTATAAAAAAACAGTAATTTGAAATGCCCGGTCACAACGGAACTTTTTTGATAATTCACTAGAAAAAACAAATGTAACATTATCTCTTTCTACGGCAATTTATATGGCTGCACTCAGGCCCACGTAGATTGGGGCAAGGAGGCCCGCTGGTAAATGAAAGGTCTCTCCTTAAAGTATGACTCTTATGACACGGTTCTTGCAAGTCACTTCGGTGTATCAAACGGAGTGAATCCTATTGATATTCTAAAACTCTTGCTATGGCAGGAATATCATAATCATTTTTGCAATGCATTACACATCGCTATCATATATCATTACATGGTTGATTATATCGTTTTCTCGTTTCTTTTTACAGCAGTGCTATTCAGTGCCCCAGCATACACCTGTCAGTCATTTGTTGACGTTGCTTTTGTTGTTGATTCCACAACATCATCTAGATATGAGTACGAAAATGAAGTCGAATTTATACGATCTGTAGCAACTGCGTTCGATTTATCAGAAGATGGGACGTCGTTCACATTCACTTCGAGCTCCAGTACCAGTGATATTGCGCAGACAATACAAACAAAGAATTCATCAGTTTTTCTTGCAGCTGTAGACAGTCTTCCATTTCAAGGAAAAAATCCAGATCTTGTGAAAGCACTTGAAATTGCATATACAAGTTTGGTAGTGTCTAAAGCAACAGAAACATCTAATGCACCACAGACTCTTATAATACTAACAGACCGAGCTGAGTTTCAAATTGATGAAAATAAGAAAATTCAGAGTGCTCTAGAACCTTATTTTGAAGCTAAAGTCAAGGTAATTCTAGTGGCAATGACAAAGAGTATAAGAAAAGTGTTGGCCTCGCCTGATGATGCATTGCTTATAGCGGAAGATTTTGATCAGTTAGCATCAGAACGCTTTGCGAGTAAAGTTGCAAGTATTGGATGTATAGAAGGTGATGCACAAAATAAACATCTTAACTTTAAAAAGATATTTCTATTTATGATATCAATGTTATGAAAGTTAACCCTGGCACTTTCTTTTTGGATACGTATCTGTAAGCGGTATTTTAGGTAGGGAATGATGCCAAATTGATAACACTGATTGGTATTGGAAAAGAATTATCTGATGAGAATTTAGTACATTAAAATAGTAATAGCTACTAACCAGAAAACTAGTAACCCAAACTGACTGATTGATCTGAAGAGAATAGTTGGTTGGGGAAGCTAGTGACTTTGGTGAATCACCGAAGACGTTGTTTCATGAATGGGTTTACTGTTTATTTGGTCAGGTGACCGATTGATTTACAGTTTGGTTGCTTGATTGCTTGATTGCTTAATTGATTGATTGTGATGGTAAGACCGATTGGCTGATTGGTTGTTTTTTTATTAATCGATTGATTCATACAATTAATTTTTGCGAACAAAAGATTTGATCAACAAATCATGGGATTGTTTGATGACTAATTTTGTAATCTTATACCGTAATCATTTTATAATTTTTGATTTACAGAAAGAAAATGCCAAGATATTCTTGACGTGGCCTTAATTATTGACTCATCTGGTAGTCTAAGAAGAGAATATAGAAAAGAGAAAGATTTTGTAAAGCAGTTTGCAGATATCCTGGGAATGTCAAAAAATGGGACCAGAATTGGTGTAATTACATTTAGCCGGCATGCAGAGCATAGCATAAAATTAGACGACTATGACTCCACTCAAGGATTTCAAGAAGCTGTTGACAGAATCCCAATATTTGGTCATACAACAAGAATAGATAAGGCTCTTAAACTTGCAAGAGACTCATTTTTTAGGCTAGAGAATGGATCAAGGTTATATGTACCAAAATTGACCGTTTTGTTGACTGATGGGTCACAAACAAGGGATATCGACGCAGAAGATCCTGGTGTAATTGCAGCAGAGATGAAAGCAGAAAAAATGAACTTCATAGTTATTGGCATTGGGAACAGAATTAATGAAAAAGAGCTACAAAATATTGCCAACGAAAAATCTACATTTTTCCTTGCAAGAAACTTTGATCAATTGATATCTTCATCATTTTTAAGGACCATTACAAAGATGACATGCAAAATAGGCAAGAATTTTGAAATTTAACTATTAGCAAAGACATTATTCATCAATATTTTGTTTTTCTAAAAACGCCTTACCCTTAGAGTTCTACTTGACAAGAAGTCAAGGGCAAACAATTATTTATAATGATCGATTTCATTCATTTGCAATTTGAAATTTTTAAAAAGAAAAAACACAGGATAAAGTTACAATGATAAAACTTGAATAAAGTAAATTGAATTAGCACAATATACAGCATTTGTCTAAATCGACTTTTTGTAACTAAATAAAAAACTCCCTGGAAGAAATTTCTAAGGAACAATCCTACTGATCTGAAAAGCTAACAAGCCTTTTAGAAGAACAAAATGTGCTTATCAAATCCATAAAATATAAGTTGCAATATTTCCTTTTGTTGGTAAAAATTGAAAACTACATTGATAAAATTGACGTTTTCCTTTGCTGCTTCTTTTTCAGCTGCAAAGCCGTTTGCATGTGAAATACGTGCTGATCTTGGCTTTGTCTTTGATGGCTCGGAAAGCATTGATGATTCAGCGAAAAGCAGGCAAAAGGCTTTCGTTAATGCTGTTGTTGGCAGCTTCAAAGTCAGCAAGGAGAACGCTCACGCAGGTATTATTGTTACAGGAAATGTGCCAAAACTAGCTATACGGCTGGGAGAGCACAAAAATATGACAAACTTCGAGGCTGCTGTTGACAAAATGACAGCCGTGGGGGGCAAAAATCGACTAGATAAGGCTTTGTTGGCAGCGTATGACGAACTGTTTAACGATTCGAACGGGGCCAGGCTGGACGTTCCTCAGATCCTGACGGTGATAACGACTGCAATGTATTTGGACAAGGCTGATGGCAATTCTCTAGCTTTAGCAGCAAGTCGCTACCATGAAGCCGGAATTAAATTACTTGTTTTAGTAGCAGGCAAAGACGCAAATAAAGAGCTTCTAAACAAATTAGTTCAGTCACCAACTGACATATTTTATGTGGAGCGATTCGATGAACTGAGAGAGAGAACGCTTGTAGAGGCCATAGCAAAGAGTGCATGTAAAGAAAGTGGTAAGAATGGCGAATTCAGCCATTTATTTTAAGGGTATACCTATGCTTTGTCGAATTTTGTATTTCAATCGACACTGGAAGCCTTTTAAAATATTATTTAAACAACCGTTTCTTTTTGTTTTATTCGTTTAGTTGTTAAATGCAAGAACGTCGCAAATGTTGGTTTCATTCTCGACTCTTCCGGAAGTCTGCGCCGTGAATATGACAAAGAAAAGGAATTTGTCAAAGAACTTGCAAAATCATTCGGTATATCAGAAGCAGGAAGCCGTGCCGGTGTGATTACGTTTAGTTACCATGCAGAGCTGAGCATCCCCGTTGACAAATTCAAGAATATAGATGACTTCAATAAGGCGATCGATAGTATTCCACTCATGGGTTATACAACGAGAATCGATAAGGCTCTTCGCCTTGCCAAGGAAAAGCTCATGGTTGGTGCTCGAGAAGACGCGCCCAAATTGGTGTTCCTTCTAACTGATGGTTCGCAAACTCAAGACGCTGGTGCTGAAAATCCAGATACTATTGCAAAAGAGCTGCGCGACCAAGGAATAAGACTGGTTGTCATTGGAATCGGCAGAGGTGTAAAGCCAGATGAACTAAAAAGAATAGCAGGAATTGAAAGCAATCTCTTCTTTGCAGCGGATTTTGATAAGCTCAAGTCAAGCTCGTTTGTTCAAAATGTCTCTAGTGAGGGTTGCAAGAAAGGCAAGTTTCCTTAACATACGCAAGTACATAAGTCAGTTGACTGCAATAAAGCATCCTCTGTCATATGTCTTTATTCGTTTATTCGTGAATGTTGCATTTGGTTATGAAAAGAACTTATTGCTACACTTTAACCTGCTCTCTTCACATATTCAATAGCATGTTATGCATGTTGCATGAATGTAATTTTTTCTTTGTTTTCCAGCTGAGGATCGTGTAGAATGTAAAGCTGTAGCCGATGTTGGCTTCATTGTCGACTCGTCAGGCAGTCTGGCCCGTCATTACGCAAAAGAGAAAGAGTTTGTAAAGCTCGTTGCAAGAAACCTTGATGTTTCTGACAGAGGTAGTCATGTCGCAGTGGTGTTGTTCAGTTATCATTCTGATCTGAGTATCAAGTTCTCGGATTACAACAATGCAGATGGTTTCGGTAGAGCTGTTGATAATCTGCCTCTAATGAAAAGCACTACTCGTATCGACAAAGCATTGAGGACGGCTTACAATGAAATGTTTAGCGAAAGAAATGGAATGAGGATTAAAGTTCCAAAGATACTTGTTCTACTTACTGATGGTGAGCAGACTAAAGATGCTGATGCGGTGTCACCTTCGCAAATCATTCAAAAATTCCACGATGCCGATATCAAGGTAATCGTTGTCGGTATTGGCGGAGGTGTTAACCCAGCTGAGCTGCGCACCTTGGTAAAATCACAAGACGACTTGTACTTAGCCAAAGACTTTGAGCAGCTGAAATCTACAGAGTTTGTTGACGGCATTACCGGATCTGCTTGCCTGCAAACCAGTGAGTTTCTCTATGCAAATAATATGTCAAATATTGTGTTAGCGTTTGAGCAAGCCTTGAATACAGTGTGTCCTGTTTTTCAATACCAGCAAAAGGCATATTATTATTAAATTTGGTCGGTATAACTCTCATAGCTGACGGTTAAAAGCCCATTTGATTTGTCAAACCTGTTATGATGTGTCCATCGGGTTTGCTGAAACTTTGAAAGCTACACAAAACTTTGATGAAAGGCTGGACATCGTTAAATGTGCTCAAGATACAGTTGCCATTTTTTTCTTCTCACTTTCATTGCAAATTCTGAATGGCATACGATTTGTTTTGTAGTTGAGCCTTGCATCAATGCTGCCGAAATTGGATTCATTGTCGACTCGTCTGGAAGCCTGAGGAGAGACTACGGCAAAGAGAAAGAGTTTGTGAAAATTCTAGCCGACTCTGTAGGAATCGAAGAAGGTGGAAGCAGAGCCGGCATTATCACATTCAGCTACGATGCTGAGCTCAGTGTCAAACTATCAGATTTTAGAACTACTGCACAGTTCAATGAGATTGTAGATAAACTTCCGTTTATGGGTTACACGACTAGGATTGACAAAGCTCTCACACTGGCCAAAGACAAACTTTTCCAGCAGTCTACAAGCGCTGGTCGTGTTTTACCGAAAATCATTTTCTTGCTAACAGATGGTCGACAAACAAGAGATCAAGATGCCGTTGACCCAGCCACAATTGCTTCGGAGATTCGCATGCAGTTTGGCGCTAAGACGTTTGTCATTGGCATAGGAAGAAGAGTAGACCCACCCGAGTTAAATCAAATTGCAGGAGATAGTTCCAACGTCTTCCTTGCTAAGGGCTTCAAACAACTCAATTCTGCTCCGTTCGTAAACAAGGTCGCTGACATGTTTTGCCGTTCAGGTGTGTAACTAAGGGTGCAGCCTGTTTTTAGTGTAACTGAAATTTGAATTGTAGATTGTAGATAGGAGATTGTCTTTCATATCTAGTCGAGAAACTGTTTCGAATGGCAATTACCTTGTTAGTTGGCATTGTTACCTTGAACTTGTGATACATACTTTGTACATGTTTCCATTGAAGCTCGTAACTAGAGCAGAATACGCAATTTGTACTCAAATACAGCCAGGTATAATATTTTTACTTTCCTTTTCGACAGCTGTACCATTAGCGGATCCTGGGTTGAACATGTGTAAGTCGAGGGTAGACATTGCTTTCGTAGTCGACTCGTCAAAAAGTATGGCAACGCACTATGATGAGGCAAAACTTTTCGTAAAGGAGATGGCAAGAAGCTTCGATCTGTCTGCAGACGGAACTCGTGCAGGTATCGTTGTTTTTGGCAACTCCAGTCGAGTGAGCATGAAGTTTTCTGACACAAACAGACTTGAAGACTTTGAAGAGACTGTAGACAACCTTGTGCTGCTTGGTGGAGATAGGAGAATGGACAAAGCGCTTGAGCTTGCTTTCGACGGTATTTTCAAGCCAGAACATGGTATGAGACCTGAAGCAGCACAAGTGATAGTTTTGCTGACAGACGGAGTGCAGTCTAAAGATGCTGGAGCACAGGCACTCCTGCAGGCAGCTCTGCCCCTGCACGAATCAAAGATCAAGGTTCTAGCTGTGGGGGTGGGAGGAAATGTGAAAAAGGAGGAGTTGCTGAGAGCTGTCAAATCTGAAAATGATATTTACATTGCAAACGATTTTGATCAGCTTTCTTCAGGAGCCTTCGTCGATGCAGTTGCTACTGCTTCATGCATAAAGGGTATGATGTTATTTTTGATGTAAAATGTAGTTTTCAAGTTGCTTGAGTTGCTTGACCAGACATTCAGCCATGCCCTCTACTTGAGAGTACGTACGTTTATAAATTAAGTGAGTAAAGGCAACGAAAAGAGCTTGTAGGCGGCAACCATTGCAAACAACCATGCCCTTCTTTTGCCAATATCTTAGTGTTAGTGTTCAGCAAAGTGCACTGTTCATTATTGTTTGTCTTGTTTTGCCTGTAGGTCCAGTATGCAAGAATCTAGTGGACGTAGGTTTCGTCGTCGATTCGTCTGGTAGTCTGAGGCGCGAATACCACAAAGAGAAAGAATTCGTAAAGAGGCTTGCCGAAAGCTTAGATATATCACCAAATGGAAGTAGAGCTGGCATCATCACATTTAGCTGGCACACAGAGCATAGTGTCAAGCTGAATGAGCACCAGGATGCGCGTGCGTTCATGAATGCAGTTGATAGTCTCCGAATGTTTGGCCGAACGACGAGGATCGACAAAGCCTTGAAGATGGCAAGGGACGAAATGTTCAGCAAAGGAAACGGTGGCCGCGATGGCATTCCCAAGCTTCTCGTTCTCCTCACAGACGGGTCACAGACCAAAGACGCTGATGCGGTAGATCCCGCACTTATAGCTGACCAAATAAGAAACAGTGGGGTAATATTGATTGTAATAGGAATTGGGAAGGAAGTAAACGAGCAAGAATTGCTAAGCTTGGCTGGTAAGGCATCTAATGTTTATCAGGCATCAAACTTTGACGAGCTCATGTCCAACAAGTTCATAGATGGTGTCTCAAAAAGCAGCTGTGAGCAGGGTAAGTCCACTGAATCTACCATTTCAATTTTTTTTTAATAAACAGTATTTATACGTTTATACATACATTAATATATATATATATATATATATATTTAGCCAAAAATTTGTAATTAGTTGTTGCATTCTCTTTCAACAGGAGTTGCTTAATGTGTACGATGAATCACACACTCTGCTTCGACTTTGAGAAATTTTAGCACTGTTAAAATAAAATTTGACTTTGTTTGCTTGATTGACTCCCTGAACACGTCTAGTACTTAATTCTAACCGATCTGTTTGCTTCATTGTGTTATTCCATTGTCAAATATGTTGCAGTATTTCCTTTTGTTGGTGAAAATTGTAAACTACATCGATGAAGTTGACGTTTTCCTTTGCTGCTTCTTTTTCAGCTGCAAAGCCGTTTGCATGTGAAATACGTGCTGATCTTGGCTTTGTCTTTGATGGCTCGGAAAGCATTGATGATTCAGCGAAAAGCAGGCAAAAGGCTTTCGTTAATGCTGTTGTTGGCAGCTTCAAAGTCAGCAAGGAGAACGCTCACGCAGGTATTATTGTAACAGGAAATGTGCCAAAACTAGCTATACGGCTGGGAGAGCACGAGAATATGACAAACTTCGAGGCTGCTGTAGACAAAATGACAGCGGTGGGGGGCAAAAATCGACTAGATAAGGCTTTGTTGGCAGCGTATGACGAACTGTTTAACGATTCGAACGGGGCCAGGCTGGACGTTCCTCAGATCCTGACGGTGATAACGACTGCAATGTATTTGGACAAGGCTGATGGCAATTCTCTAGCTTTAGCAGCAAGTCGCTATCATGAAGCCGGAATTAAATTACTTGTTTTGGTAGCAGGCAAAGACGCAAATAAAGAGCTTCTAAACAAATTAGTTCAGTCACCAACTGACATATTCTATGTGGAGCGATTCGATGAACTGAGAGAGAGAACGCTTGTAGAGGCCATAGCAAAGAGTGCATGTAAAGAAAGTGGTGCCATGACCACTGCACACTCTATCTTCATTCATTCCTCGCTGACCACCCCTCCACCCTTCCCAATGAACATGAACTAATTTACGGCCGGAATGTGCCCAAGCGCAAAACCAATGAAACAAAACTATAAAACGAGGTATAATGAAAATGAGTTTTTAAAAAGAAGTTCCGTCCAAAAAGGAAGCATAAACAAGAGGAATTTAGACCCAGAACCTAAGTTACAAGCATGATCATTCAGCATGTAACTGCAAAACCTCTATTATTTCTTTTTTCAGTTCTCAAGGGGGATGAAAAGAGAGGAGGGCTTTTTACTAGACCAATGTATAAAATGCTATAAAAATGCCCATATGTATATTTTTGCCTATGAAAATGTCATACAATAGTTCTCAAGAAGATTTTGTAGCAGCCTGCGAAAAATTTCTTAAAATTAGTCAGTTATAATGTATCATCTTCATCAGAGTCACACAGGATCAATTGATAACCCTGGACATCTGTTCCAAATAAGTTTTTCGACTGAAAGGCACACAAGTAAAATCGGTCATCCGTCAGTGGCGATTCAGCCTTAAAATCTGGGGGGGCTAAACCGGGGCCAACTTTCAGTTATAAAAAGCCAACGCTAGCTATTATTTTTGGAAGCTATGTAGAATGTAAAGCAGTGGCGTGGTGGCTCAAATTAGCTAGCTACAAGGCACCAGTTCTTAGCTCCTCATAATAAGAATGTCCTTGGTACAGCTCTATCAAGGCTGTTATCATTATGCCAAATAGTTTTATTGTGGTGTAAGGAGAGCTGTGTCCCCCTAGGAAAAATAACAAAGAAAATGTTGCTCGGGGGCACCCTAAAGGTTCGGACCGTTTTTTTATAACTAAAAGTAACTTTGTTCTGTTACTCCAGCTGAGTTTTTATCTGTTTTATACAATAATGATCATGAATCATGGCTTTCAACAGAAGAACTAAACTTTCTAAAAAATAAAGTCTAATCCAGCTTTTCTTGAGATTGAGATTTGATTGGTAATTTTTCCATAGAAGTTATGTCTTAATATCAACCTCCATGCGATCAAGCAAATCATTTCTGTACGGAGAATTTCAAATCATACAATTTTC